TGTTGCTCTCTCCGCCGCACAGCCGCCGCCCGCGCTGTGCAAACCCGCTCCTTCTCGCTTCCCAGCACCCGCTTCTCCTTCCTCAGCTGCGAGGATGCTGTTGACGTCGGCCTGATTTTGACTGTCTACCCCTGGAGACAGGATGAGGTTGGTAAATCTGCTGACAGCTGCGTCGTGATAAAAATAAATTTAAAAAAGAAAAAAAAAGGAGAAATGCTGTCAGATGTGGGAAGTGATACACAAAACACCAGGTTTTACTATAAAAACAAACACCCACATATTCAGACTGCACGTTTTTGTTCTGCACGCCTCCTCTTCTGTAATGATGTTTACAACAACTCAAATTAATCACAACCCTGTGCATTTCAGCAGCAGACAGGAGGGAGCAACCCTCTCTTCCAAGGTGAGTACTCATGACCTGTTTAATTCTCACCTCCGAGATCTCAGCAGCCAAGCAGCTAACTACCCAAGTGCCAGTGTGCAGTAAGTCAGGCTGAGCAGTACCGCTTCTCATTACTTGTCTGATCAAAGATGTCTCCAATAGATTGCGGAGAGTGCACAAAGCCCTGGCGTGGCAAACAAAGGTGAACAGATAACACGGGGACGAGCTGTGCATAAATAACCTGACTCTGATCCTCTCGGCATTTCTGCAGGTGTTTAATGTGACACGCATGGGTGATGTTGTACACGCATTAAGCATGTGGGCTTTACAGGATTTCTGGCACAGACCTTTCCTTGTTTCCAATACGTGTTTAACCCACTCTTGGTAACACACCGTAGCTCCTTCTATCTGCTGTACTCCAACGCATTCCAGCTCACCTCTCTCTCCAGCTCTTCAATTTTCTGCACTTCACCCTAAGCATCTGCCTGCACCTTCCTGGGACACTCCTCCTCATTCAGGCTTCTTTTCAGAGGCCAGTTACTACCAGATGAGGCCCAGAAAGCATGTGGAAAGGGAGGGGTGTATTCACAGAGTCAGCAGCCTTTCCCGCTCATCCCAATGTGCCAGCCCATCTCCCTAACCCCTGCACAAACCTGCGGCATTATCCACACCACTTAACTTGGGTACCCATGTTAAGATGTGCAGGTTCCTCACAGAGTCAACAAAGGGGAAGACTTATCAGAAGAGCAATCTGAGGCTGCCAGGTTAGGATCTGAAGTACTGCCCCGCTTCAGCGTGCAGGATTACACACTGAAGAGACTCTCTTCTCCGCCAGTGGGGCAGGGCGAAGGGAAGCGGAAAGCAGAAGAGTTGACTGCTAAAGGAGTGCCAAAGTGCCCCTACTCCCATGCTGTTAGGCTGCAAAAGCCACAGCAACCTAAGGAACAAGAACAGGACTCTCTTGCCAAGCCTGGAATTCCTTAAAGAACAACTGGAACTCAAGCATCTGGAAGTACTTTAGGCTCCCAGGTATTAATAGGTACACAAAGATCATAAGCTAAAATGAAGCAAAATATTATGTTCTTCCTGAATTGGAAAAGTATGCTTTTCTTTTTCAAATACTCATTTCCACACCACATAATTTGTACAGTCTGCGGGGATACATATATTGCTGTAGCAGCATAAATCAGCCCTGAGCAGAAACTAAGGAGGTATCATATGTTTCTGTTCAGTCTAGAAATATTTTTATAAGAAACATGCAAATAAACATTTTGATAAGATTCTGGTTTTCTTGGGTTTTCTGTTTCATCTTTCTGCACATTAGAGAATTTCGACACATGAAAGGGAAAGAATTAAAGAAAGAAAAGAAGCTTTTATTATCTCATTGTCCATTCATAAAAACACTACTTAAACTTCAGATTTAAGAGAGAAAGATGTGATTATAAAGGGTCAGTGTATTTACTCAACAGGCACAGCAGTAAAATGGGTTGTCAGGACACGTCGCTGCCGAGTTAGCTCCGGGTCTGCATGAAATGACTCAGACCTCTGCAAATGCTGTCAGGAGGGACACACTAAGTAGGAGTTTTGAATGCTTCACACAGGAGTAGGATTGCTCTCCTCATCCCGGTGCTGCAGAGGACCCTGAAGCCTGCTTTGGTGATGAAGTACTTTGCGTGGCTCACCAATGCAGACAAAACGTACCCTCTTTCTTTTCTCTGAATCAGTATGGGAAGCTGGGGCAGCAGATCAAACACAGCTGATCCAAGGGAATTTTCTTCACCGGTACTCAGAATAAATGCTACAGAAGTAAAAACTACTCTCTCACCTGATGCTGCTTTCTGGATCTCCAGGGTTACGGATGTGGGAAGACACTGCATAAGCAAGCAGATCTCCTCATACGTCATCTTACTGACAGGGATGCTGTTGATGGTGGTAATCTCATCTCCTACAGCCATCTTGCCCATTGATCCCTGAGGCAATGACAGATTCAAGGAAATTATAAATACACATCAGAAGCCCTGCCACAGGGTCAAAGATTGCAAGGAAGCAATTAATGGCTTATGAGCAACATTCCCTATTTCACCTCACTGCAGAGCACAGGTACCACTGCTGTCAGTTTGCCAACATGTAAAGAAAAAGCAGACTGTGCTTTTGCCAGGAAAGGAATTAATGATCTATCTCAAACAGGAAGGTCAAAAGAGCTGCTGGTTTCTCCGATAGATCAGTATCAGGACGGAGGACACAGCCCCCTTCATTTACATGAACTGGAATGAATCAGCCCTAACTTCTTCAGGACTGGAATGTCTTCTATCATATTTTGCATTTCATGTAGGAATTATATTCCTGGTCACAACCTCCCATTGGACTACTGGAACTCTTCTAAATAACTCAATTGGACAGGGACAGAGCACTTAAGGTAAAAGCCTAACTATGTTTTTAAACACTGCACAGTAAATCAGAGGGAAAAGGCAGGAACAGAACCTAAACCCCCAGCTCTTACAATTCAAACACCTACAACATACCTCTTATCCTGGTGGCCACTAACAAGATTAAAAAAGCTACCTCGGGCTTTGTACACCAGTCTATCTTCCCTCCTTTTTGCACTTTTGCATCTAGGTGAGCAATTCCACATCCAGCCTGAGTATCCACACAGGTATGTGCATGTTTGGGAGGCAGAAGACCAATATGTTACTGGTGCTATCATGGTGCTTGCCATATAAGGCCTCCTGGTACCAGATTTGTGCAACAGGAATACAGGCATAGAAAATAATAGGGGGTAATAAGCATTTTTATAGCCAGAATTTAGTTATTTTGCCTTTGCCTCTGGTAAAAGGAAAAGAACAGTATTCCCTCAAAACTGTGACTGTGAGCAGGGATCAGTCCATCTCAGTAGATCTGCCTCTTGACTTTCCTGGTTTTGAATCAGCCAGTGTGCACTTCTGCATCAGAAAAGGTTCTTAACAGCACCTTCAGAACCACAGCATCATAGAGTCTTTTAGGTTGGAAAAGACCTCCAAGATCACCAAGTCCAACCATTAACCTAACACTGCCAAGTCCACCACTAAACTATGTCCCTAAGTGCCTCTTCACACATCTTTTAAAAAACCTCCAGGGATGGTGGCTTGATGCCCTCCCTGGGCAGCCCTTTCCAATGCCTGGCAACCCTTTCTCTGAATAAATTTTCCCTAATATCCAATCTAAACCTTCCCTGGCACAACTTGAGGCCGTTTCCTCTTGTCCTATCCCTTGACACTTGGGATGGGAGACCAACCCCCATCTCTCTGCAACCTCTTTTCAGGGAGTTGTAGAGAGTGATATGGGAGGAGATGCATTGCCCAGCAGAGGCAACATCTCCCTTCCACTCACTTTCAACAGATCACTTGCTTCATACTAATACTGCTAACAATAATCCCTGCAGAGTGAAAGCAAATCACAAGGCAACCCAAATTAAAAAATTACCATTTCTGCTGCTCCACCTGGTCGCAGCCCTGTGACAACAACCTTTAAGGGCATGGCCTGGATTTCCAAATCCAGGCCGAATGACTCGTGCTCATTGCGAACCAGAGTGACTATTTCACACTGGCCCTGCCCAGTCCCATCCGATGCTTCAGACTTTCTGCTGTGAGGGAGCGTCCTCGCAATGGGCTTGTTGTAAGAGCCATGTTCCTCCGTCCTCTGTCTCTGAAGGCTTCGGCACTCGGTGCTCATCATGCTTTTCACTCTCGTGACTGCTCTGTGCTCAAGTTTTGGCGATCTCTTAGATTCCAGTTGTGCTTCCCGAAGCTCCTTCAAACTCAGGCTGCCAAGACGAACTTCAGGCACGCTTGAGTAATCAAAAGCTATGATGGGGAAGAAGGGAGAGTCAATTTGCTCCAGCGTGCTGTCTGCAGACTCCACCGAGTTGCTGAAAACAGGGGAAGACGTATCTGTGCCACTGTATCTGGGTGACTCACTGTCCTGGCTTTCATCATCGATCTCTACAGACGAGGTTGTGATGACAATGCCAGTGTCATCCTGCCTCTTGGCCCTCAGGCTTCTTTGCGAGTGGGAACTTTCATCGTCATCACTAGCATCACCATCATAGAAAACAACCCTCCTCTGTCGATGAAAGGGGCTGCGGGCAGATTTGGGGCTGTCGCTAAGGATGCCAGGTCGGACAGACTCCACATGCTTGTTGTGAAGGCTGGAGGACCTCCCACTAGTTGGAGAAGCCAGACCATTTGCTTTTGCCACTCCTGCTTCTCTAGCAGCTAGGGAAAAAAAAAATAATTAATTTATAGATGATTTTTAATACCATGCATCTGGGTGCAGCAAAGTACATGTGGCCCTGCTTGTAGGGAAAGCTTAACCTCTTCTCACAAAGCAAAGAGCAGGTTTTCCACGTCCTCCTTCTAACTACAGTAAATAGCAAGAGGGACAGCAGATGGCTCTACAGTTTATGGGTAATTCCCGAAATCAGTTCATAGCACATCTGGTTCTATTTTCAGTTTATTTCTAAATTATGACTATGACCCAAAGAAGAAAAGGATGCAAATTCACGTGTATTTTACTTTAAACAACACACTTTGCTTAAATCTATGCTTGGGACTGCCTGCATTAATTTAAAGAGAGTGAAAAACGCTTTCCTGAACAAAGACACAAGCACACAACAACCAGTTTCATATTAAAGACTAATAAATCGAAGAATCCTTTCCACATGCCTCTTAGAAAGAACTGCACTTTATTTAATAGAAAGGGTTTTTTTTATTTTGCTTTGTTCTGTGGGTATTTTAAAATGTAAAAATGCTTTTAAGCATTAAATAAGGAATTTCCAGAGAAAAATAAGCTGTTGGCAAAGACATTGCTTTGGAAGCATAGGAAGGGGAGAACAAATGTAATATCCTTTGAATTTGAGATCAGGTGCATGTCAGTAAGGAAATGTAAGATTCTTTCAGTCAAATTACTATGGGGAGAAAGACACGTATGCAAAATACCTGATGTCAAATTGAACATTTGATTGTTTTTACGCTGCTATATGTGACATTTTCAATTGTGTATTTGAGATAGCTATGAACACTTTCATTTAAATGTAACCAATCAGATTAGCATCAGTCATTTGAAAAAAAACCTGCAGTGCTGTCAATCTAGTTGCGACCAAACCAATCAAATAAAGTAATTTTCACGTAATCAGAGGAGCAATTTGGACAAAATACCATGGAAACGGGCATTTATGTGCATTGTTGTAAACCCCTTCCATTTTCTACAATTTCATATGATCAGCACTGGCTTGCACTAAGCTGCCCGGTGTGTCTTAGCAGCACAGGAATCACCGTAGCTCCCCGTAATGCAAACCAACGCTCAGCGACTCTCCCTCCGTTGGCCAAATGACCCGACACATTTCCGTCACTTACTCAGGTTGCCAGAAAGAAGAGAGCCATCGTCCAACAAGCTATTTCTGTTCTTCTGACGGAGCTGCTCTTCGTCGCAGGAGCCGGTTGCAGCATCTGGAAACGGGAGCTGGCTCGCTGTGTCGTGTGAGAAGTACTGGGAAAGCTCTGCCTCGGAGCTCACGGATCCCTGCTGAAAAGAAGTGAGCCTGGTGACCAGCCATCGCTGATGCTCAAAGCCCCTGTCTGCGTGCAAGCACCACAAAACCCCACTCACACTGCCGTGTCAATAAAGGAAGTTTAACGCAGACTTGTCAGTATACTGAGAGCCAAAGTGACAAACTTGGATGGCTGAAATGCTGCGCAGCAACACGTTTTTAGCCGGTATAATAAAGAAAAAAGGATTCCCAACCCCATTACTTTGCAGATGCAGTTCAATACAGAAACAAGGGACAAAAATACTCACTTGTGTAACCCCCTTCTGCACTGAGAGCCCGTACCTCTGGACACAGTTTGCATGGATTCTTTGGCTTTCCCAGGAAAACCAAAGACTTTTCCACTGCAGTGGCTACAAAGAGGCCAAGCTCTCAGCCTTCTGCCCACAGGCCCAGGTCTCTCCTGCTAACCTCCCCTCTGTGCCGCACAGAGCAGGGGTGCCTTCGAGACGGCAGGAGGTGGGAGCCCACAGCTTTCTCTGCCATGCTCTGCACATCGTTCCCAACGAACAGGAGCTTGCTGCTGTCACGATTTCAACATGTGACGTAAAAAACAAACCCTTTTATGGAGCCCACGTGAGAAGAAAGGAGCATAGAGGTTTGGTTCTGAACTCCCTGCTCAAGTAAGAGCTTCAGTAAAAGCTGAATTTGAAGCAGACGCTGTTTTTACTGCATCTAATCCTTTTACCCGGCTTGCTGGCTCCAGGAAGCGTTTCATAGTCCAGCTGAGGGGAGAGGAGGTCTCTCCTTGTTTGGCCTTCACACTAGGAGACGGACTTTTTTGTGCAGCTCCTGTTAAACACAGCTTAGTTAGATGCCAAAACTTAAAGTTATGGTCCATATATCCAAACAAGCTCCTCATTCACCTTTTGAGCTGGAGGCTGCATTTAATCCCACTTACTTATTATCTGAACTGCTTCCCTAAAGTGATATTTATTTAACATTTCACAAGCTCTCCGTCAGACCAGGCAAAACATTATCACAGAGACACATTACGCCAGCCAGGCCCAGGACAGAGCTCTGAACAAGCGTTGAGGAGGAGATGCTCCTCACGCACTGGAGCATGCTGCTGACTAGGTACAACCTCGAAAAACAAATCAGCAGCCACTGGCAAGGTCTACTTCAAAAAAGGTCTTAGATTACACAGATATAAAGAGCATAATTACAAATCTAACATTTTTGTCTAAAAATCACCTTCTGTCTAAAAATTACTCTGCCATTGCCAAGAGTTTGCTTTCATCTGTAAGATTTTAGGAAGTGCTAAGTCTGGAGTTCAGAAACATCAGACAAACGCCAGAGCACACATGTTGACAGGACCCCAAAGATGAAAATGGAGTTAAAACATATAGCCCAGTATGCAATATCTGGACTTTTTCAAATGGACACAACAATATTTCATCTTTTTTTTTTTTCTTTTCTCCATTTACATGGATAAATGTACATAGATGGAGTGGATTCCTCCTGTCCTTTCCCTAATGGGACACTGTGCTTCCTATTCATCTTGAAGACGGGATAGAGCAACCACCTCTTGGCAACCTTACTTTGAAATCATGGCAGCCTAGCGAAACAGAGCAAGTAACATGCGCTATAAGGCTAATTTTTCGCTAAAATTTCTACAGTGGACAGAATGATTACACCCCCTAAACTGTTAGTGCTGTTTTGAGGGCCCTCAAAATATTGACACTGGGGAATGCAGAAGCGTGGCCTTAAACTTCCTGTATTCGGAAGAAGACACATATTGGAAGAGAAGATGCTGCGACCTGTGACATGAGAGGAGCTGGCATCCTTGCTCTCCCGGTGGGTAGTACGTGCGATTGCTTCATCCATCTCCTGCTCAGAAACCTGAAGAAGACAGAGATCAAACTGGGTAGATGAAATGAAAAAAGAAAGTCTGGCCACTTACCACCACAAATACCACCACGATTCATTTTAGATATGCTACTAATTTTAAAGATGCAATAAAGAAGACGGAGTTGAGAGCTCCTAAGTCCTGATTCAGACTCCCTCCATGCCACTCTCCTGCAGAGACCAGGAGGCAGAAGCCTGATGACTTCATGGAGACCACGTCCAAGTGCCACATTACGCAAACAAATAAAACAGCACCAGACTTAAAGAAATCAAATTAAGCCATTACAGCACGATTTTAACTCAATTAAGTGCTGTACATTGATTTATTGAGAAAATATTACTTTAAAATAGACAAAGACTGCTTTGTACATGCATACATCAGCAACAGAAGATACTCTACACTTAACCTACCGGAAGATTACCAGACTTCCCGAGATATTAGCTGTCTTTTTAATTTTCATTTCTCCTTGCTTTTAAAAAGAAAACCTAAATCAGTAATTGGTAATTAATGTTCCTCTGGTTTAAGAATAAATACTGGTTTACCATATTTGCTAATTTTGTCCTGAATTAATGCCATGCACTTAATTCTTATTACTGGAAAACTCCATATAATTTTATAACAGGAACTACTAGTCTGCAGGAATATATATTTAAAAACAGAAAGCAAGTTAATTCTGTCAAAAATAATTTGTATGCACATTGCTTTACACGAATTAATATTCTGCATAAATAGAGACTAGAAACTTGAATCTTTCTGAACCATGAAGATTTGAAAGATTCCTAAGCAAACTCAGCAGTTTATACATAGTTCAAATGCCACATTCACTCAGAATATCAAAAAGAAAGAAAATTTTGCGGTATTTCTCTTGGAAGTAGATGAAAACACCAAAGTGAACATATTCAGCAACAAAGTGTACTGTGGACCTTTTGTATGTCATAAAATGAGACATTAAGTATAAAAATGTCCAAAACAACATGAGCCTTTGTAGAAAACATCCCTGTTTTCAGCCTGTGGCATGACCCTACAGCAAACCAAAAGCCTCCAGGCTCCTGGGGCACAGGGAGTTCCTACAGGACACGGACCAAGCCCTGCGAGTATGCTTCAGGACCTTTACCCAAACCTGTGGGTACAAGGTAAAACTAGGTGCTGGGCAGACTGCAGTATTTGTTTAAAGCTAACCAAAAATCCACACTTCAGCAAGCTCTGCCAATCTCGATTTTTAGCATCCTCTGTGTCTCACACAGATCAAACGGGAGAATGACAAGCTAATTCTTAACGACAGTCTGCAGTCTGTGGTATTATTAAGAGCTAATAAAATATAGTAAAATACCCTCCATAATTCTGTAGACCCCCAACGCTGTCAGAAAAAGGGTGACAGTGCCATAACAATAAATATGGGTCCCCATATGGACACACCTTCAGATATCCAGCTATGAGGGATTGTGGATTCAATACTGCCTGGGTGAAAAAAATGCTTTAGGGTCTCTCCAGCTCAACTTTTAGCTTTTCTTACCATTTCTTGGCAAAGGATTTGTTGTCATTTTAAGTATCACTTATGGAAAAGTGTAAGAGGAGCCACTTAATAGTTTCACCCTGTTACCGAGTAATAGCAAGCAATTAGTTTAACTCAGTTCATCTTCTCAGCAAATACCTGATTTGGTCACTCATCAGCTTTCAAGCCACCACCAGAGCAAGATGAAGGACAGAGGAGACAGGCTCCACTCCCTGGAGTTTTAATTTCATGCTACTTACAGACCCTCCAAAAAGTCTATATGCCATGGTAATGCAATCAAACCAAACCATACAGACTCCCTAGAAGTACTGTTATCTTAGGCTACAAGCCCAATCCTTACCCCTTCCATGCTTACCTTTAACTAACAGAACTACAGCCTCTTTCTTTTTAGCAGCACAAGGCTTCACAGCAATGATAATAAACTTTGGGCAGTAGACCCCTATTTGTCTATTGTTTGTATATTTGATTTAGGAGAAAATACGCAATTAATTATAAAATAAGAAACCTGAGTTCTCCTAGATATGGATTTATTAAGGCCTCCATTTGTAGTTACGAGTTCAAAAGTCAGAGCTCTCTGGACCCACTAATGCAAATATTTTTACAGCTTCATTCCTGTTTAAACAGGAAGGTTTTGTACACTCATGAAATTCTTTGAAATATTGAAATAAAAGAAGTTATTATTCCCTATAGCTTGGTTAAAAGGCTTTTATCTTCTACCATCAATTTTTAAAAATTGCTTGAAAATACTCACTCTGTAAACACAGCCTTATTTCCAAATTGCCCTTGCACAGGATTTCACAGTAGCAGTGCATTCCAGATACTCAGGTTTTAATTCCTGACGGAAAACTTTGATCTTTGGACAGATTTTACTTTCTTAAAAACAGTATTCCTACCACTTTATTATAGTTGATCAGTTCAATCTGTTGATATTTATATCCCTGGCTCAAAATTACATTCTACTCAAGGACAAACTGACTGCAAACTAACTTTAAGGCGGAAGAGGCCTTGTGCCATATTTGCATGGCCACTTGGTCCAAGTACTGAGAAAGATGGGAACACTTCACTCGAGTAGTTCCAGGAAAACTGCTTTTGATCAGTGGGTGACTAAGTGAAAAGCAGCAGGGACAGTCCAGCACGGCTACAACTTACCAAACTGGAAGGCATCATTACAACCCTGACATCTTGCACAACACATGCCATAGAAAGAAAAAGCTAATGGTCTTCATTTGCTGCTTTCCCAACAGCAAGACTCAAATTACAGTGCCAGATTAACAACCCAGACACTTGAACACACTTTCTCCTCACCTTTGGGTTAGGATGCCGACTAATGATCAGGCTAACCGGACCTGGACCGCATTCACTCAGGATGGCGTAGGCTTCACTTAACGCTGCGTGACGCAGACTCACCGAATCTGCCTCCAGGATCTGGTCACCCCGACTGCAGAGAGGCACAGAGCCAGTTAATCACAACCGCCTTTTACAAAAACATTTGTGCTTTCAACTGATGGCCAAGCTTTTTCAAAGATACAAGTGTCTGGAGAAGGTCTGACTTGCAAAGAAGCCAGTCTTGCTCTTGCTCCCAGTGACGTGAATCCTTTAAGTCCTGTTGACTTTGGGAGGGAGGTCCGGAGATCCCTTCTGCACTTACCGTCAGTGCTACAAACCCTATTAAATCAACAGGGAAAATTGGCTGCATTTGGACCAGGGTGAAAGCAAACTTCAACTCCAGTTCTGCATTCAGATACTTGCTGAGCACAGGGGAGGAAAAATTAGATTCAGATGGTCTGTTCCTTCCCATCATATTGAATTACTGAACACAAACACTGATAAGAAATTCTTGATTTAGATATGACTCTACTAAATGACTCCAGGAAAAAATTGAGTGTGATAAGCCTGTATTTGCTTCAAATTAACACATAGAACCCATTAAAAAAAAAATTTAAAAAAATAAAAAAAACAACTCTTCTGAAAGAAAAGCACAGATTGTTTAGTTTTGTTTTCCCAATTTCTTAACTCTTGCTCATGGTGCTCAGACATCTGGAACTATTCAAAAGAAAAGATCATCAACTAGGGATATCATTAAAGCATTCTCCATAATTACTAAAGCATTTGCTTTAAATGGACACTCTCAAACAATCTACTCCTGCTGATTTATGTTGGGCTAATTGTGACACTGGAAATGAGTTTGCCCCATGAGTCTGCACACCGAAGGCAAAATGGCAATTGCGCCTGGCAGCCTTCAGTAAGTTGTGCTTCTGTACAGGCTCGGGACAGCAAAGGCTGACCAGCAAAAGGGTGACGGCAAAAGGTTGTGTTATTGTGACGCTGCTGAGCCCATTTTCTAGATTTATGCAGCTATCAGAAGCTACACAAATGCAGTCGCTTACGCAGGCACACCACTGAGAGGGGGAGCTCAGATACGGAGGAGCTGGGTTCAAACCGCTCCTGGCATTGCAAAGCCAGTATTTGATTAACGAAGTTTTCCAAAAATCAAAACCATCTATTAAGTTTTGGCTTATGGAACCATAAACCGCTGATGGGACAACAGAAGCAACGTCTCAAAAGAAGCAAGCTAGAAATCTGGGAAGCATGCCTGGATATAATCAATCACTTAAACCTAATAAAGGATACAGCTGTTACATACAGACACAACCAGCACTGCAATCTTTTCCAAAGGGGCTTACAAGAAATCAAGTTAGCATTAAATATTGTCTCCTACAGACATTTCTGTATGGCAGGAACTTTCAAGGGTTTTGGCAGCGATGCCACCACAAAATCATCTTCTTCCCTTATTCCAAAAAATCAGACTGCTCTATCACAGTTTTCCTGGTGAGCAAGGAAACAGAAGGCACTCTCTACCCACGTGAAAGGCAGGCATTTGCTCAGCCTCCCCGCACCAGTGCTCACGCCACGCGTTCCGTGCGGATCACACAGTCCCAGCGGGTCTCTAGCACAGTCCCTC